GCAATGAAGAGGAAAACCCGTTCTTAACTTCGTTTTTTCAATAGTCGATGCTAGCCTTTTATGAAATTTGCGTTACAGGAGATCAATGTGAATTCTTCGCTTCGTGCCAACATGACTGCCCTGGAAACTCCACTTGTATAACAATAAACACACTTGGGGACTTCCTTTGCCTTGAGGAAAATCAGTGTAAGTAGATGAAATTGTTGAAAGTTTTGTTTTATTTCGATAATTTAGAAAGGAATGATGCAGGCAAAACGTACCTTCAAAGGAAACTACTTCCAAACGTACTACAGCATCAACACAAGTTTGTACCAGAAACAAGGCTTCACATCAACTGACAATAACGGTGTTGCTTACATGTGCTTCAACAATGCTGTGTGAAAGGATAATTGTTGTATTTTTGATATATTATAAGCTATCAGGAGAATAAATTTATGTAAACATGTAATAACCATATTATCTCAATATACCATCGTCGCGCACAGGGACAAATAATAACCCCAACACATGACAAAAGATATCTCATCACAAACAAGGGAAAAATATATAGGTCATCACACACAAGGACAAAAAGATATGTCGTCACAAACAAGGGAAAAATATACATGTCATCACAGGCAAGGACAAAAGATATCTCGTCACAAATAAGGGGAAAATAGATATGTCATCGCACGCAAGGACAAAAGATATCTCGTCACAAACAAGGGAAAAATATATATGTCATCACACGCAAGGACAAAAGATATCTCGACACCCCTTAAGGAGAAAATACAACTCATCAATCACAAGAAAAATATATATCTCGCCACACAAGGGCAAAATATCTTGTTACACAGAAAAATATTTCGTCTTACAAGGACACACACACGCCGTCACAACCTAGGACAAAACATATCCCTGTTACACACAAGGAGAAACTATATCCAGTTACTCACAAAAGGTAAATTATTGCCAACAAACACAACGACAAAATATGTTTCGTAAACACAAACATAAATTACATACAAAACCAACACTCAAGGGCAAACATCATTTACCTAGACACCACTAAAAAATTCTACACGTAACCATGTATACACATTGACAAAATGTCACAACACCAGTACAAGCATTATGGTGTTATATTATGAATGACTTTCGAATAATAATTTAGTGTGAAGTAATCATTATCTGTATCTTATAATTGTTTTACAGTTTTTCTAACTGCACTTATGATTTGGATTAATTTAAAATGAATTGTCTGATAGATGAAACATTTTGTATATTTGTTCTACTGAAGACTGAAATAATTTCTAACCATGCCTTTTTTGTCTTTCAGACCTTACTGAATGTAATTTTGAATATGGCTGCGAAGAACATCCTTGTGTATTTGCCAATAACAATATCAACTGCCAGTGTGGAGAAGGCTACACATTAGGTCTCGGGAAGTGTAATGATATCAATGAATGCAATAATCCCGATAGCAATAACTGTACACAAGAATGTATTGACACAGCAGGAAGTTACGAGTGCGCATGCTTCAGCGGCTACGTCATGAATGACACAGACTGTAATGATATAAACGAATGTTCCAACAGCAGCTTAAATAATTGCACACACCAATGTTACAATTACCCAGGTGGTTTTAATTGCAGTTGTTACACTGGGTATCATTGGAATGGCTCGATATGTACAGACATCGACGAGTGCACAAATAGTTCATTAAATAACTGCCCCCAGGACTGTGTCAATTCTGAAGGAAGCTTCGAATGTACATGTTTCACAGGATATCTTTCGAATGGGACTTTTTGTGTAGATATCAATGAGTGTTCAGACAGCATGTTAAACAATTGCAGTCAAAAATGTGACAATTTTCCAGGCGGCCATAATTGTTCCTGTTTCAATGGGTTCTATTGGAATGAAACAACCTGCCTCGACATCGATGAATGTACAGTAAACAGGTCTTTAAACAACTGCAGTCAGGAATGCAACAATTTTCCTGGTGGATATGACTGTTCTTGCTTTGATGGGTTTGTTTGGAATGGATCAATTTGCCTCGATATCAATGAATGTCAGAACAGTTCTTTGAATAATTGCAGTCAAAGATGTAACAATTTTCCTGGTGGATTTAACTGTTCTTGTTTCAACGGGTTCTTTGGGAATGGAACAACCTGCCTCGATATCAATGAATGTGAAGTAAACAGTTCTTTGAACAACTGCAGCCAAAAATGTAACAACTTTCCTGGAGGATTTGCTTGTTCCTGTTTTTACGGATACATTTTTAATGGATCCGATTGTATTGATGTGAATGAGTGTGTAAACAGGTCTTTAAACAACTGCAGTCAGGAATGCAACAATTTCCCTGGTGGATATAACTGTTCTTGCTTTGATGGGTTTGTTTGGAATGGATCAATTTGCCTCGATGTGAATGAATGTCAGAACAGTTCTTTGAATAATTGCAGTCAAAGATGTAACAATTTTCATGGTGGACATGATTGTTTCTGTTTCAATGGCTTTTATCTGAACAGTGCAAATGGATCAGAATGTGTAGATATCAACGAATGCACAGAAGGTTCACACAACTGTTCCCAGGATTGTGTGAACAATGAAGGAGGGTTCGAATGCGAATGCTTCAGTGGGTATGTTATGAATGGAACATTTTGTGAAGATATCAATGAATGTGAGAACACTACTTTAAACAACTGCAGCCAGGATTGTTATAATTTACCGGGGAGTTTTGACTGTAATTGTCAAATGGGTTACAGATGGAACGGAACGACGTGCAACGACGTTGACGAATGTTCCAATACAACGCACATCCCTTGTCCTCAAGACTGTATCAACTCGATCGGCAGCTACGAGTGTGTATGTTTTCAAGGATTTATACAAAATGGGACAAATTGTGACGACATTAATGAGTGTCTTAATACGACATTACACAATTGTAGCCAACAGTGTAACAACTTCCCGGGTGGTTTTAACTGTTCTTGTTTCGATGGATATGTTTGGAACGGAACAGATTGTCTAGATGTCAACGAGTGTTTGAATGACACACTGCATAATTGTAGCCAAGAATGTGAAAATGTACCGGGAGGATTCAGTTGTAGATGTTTTGATGGCTACATCTGGAATGGCACAGATTGTAATGATATCAACGAGTGTTTAAACAAGTCCCTTCACAATTGTAGTCAGAAATGCGACAATACTGCTGGCGGATTCGATTGCTCGTGTTTCGATGGATATTTTCTAAATGACACGTTCTGTGCAGATATCAACGAATGCTTAGATACTAGAATGCACAACTGTAGTCAGAAATGTGAGAATATTCCGGGAGGTTTTAACTGTAGCTGTTTCTCAGGTTATCTATGGAACGAAACTGTTTGTGTTGACATCAATGAATGTTCCAATTCCTCGATGAACAATTGTTCTCAGAAGTGTGTCAATTCAGATGGAGGTTTTCAGTGTGAATGTTATTCGGGATATGTCGGCGACGGGTTTACATGTGAGGATGTAAATGAATGTTTAAATGCCGATGAGAACAATTGTAGTCAGGAATGTTATAACTATCCTGGAGAATTTAACTGTAGTTGTTTCCCCGGATTTCAGTGGAATGACAGCGCTTGTATTGACATTAACGAGTGTTTGAATTCGTCAATAAGCGGATGCGATCAGGATTGTTTGAACAGTGTTGGAAGTTACAGCTGCATTTGCTTCGACGGATTCCAGTTGAACGACACGATTTGTCAGGACATTAATGAATGTGAAAATTTTACATTGAACAATTGTAGTCAAGAATGTTCGAATTTCCCCGGTGGCTACGACTGTTTTTGTTTCAACGGCTACCGACAAAACGGATCAGAATGTGTAGATATCAACGAATGCACAGAAGGTTCACACAACTGTTCCCAGGATTGTGTGAACAATGAAGGAGGGTTCCAATGCGAATGCTTCAGTGGGTATGTTATGAATGGAACATTTTGTGAAGATATCAATGAATGTGAGAACACTATTTTAAACAACTGCAGCCAGGATTGTTATAATTTACCGGGGAGTTTTGACTGTAATTGTCAAATGGGTTACAGATGGAACGGAACGACGTGCAACGACGTTGACGAATGTTCCAATACAACGCACATCCCTTGTCCTCAAGACTGTATCAACTCGATCGGCAGCTACGAGTGTGTATGTTTTCAAGGATTTATACAAAATGGGACAAATTGTGACGACATTAATGAGTGTCTTAATACGACATTACACAATTGTAGCCAACAGTGTAACAACTTCCCGGGTGGTTTTAACTGTTCTTGTTTCGATGGATATGTTTGGAACGGAACAGATTGTCTAGATGTCAACGAGTGTTTGAATGACACTCTGCATAATTGTAGCCAAGAATGTGAAAATGTACCGGGAGGATTCAGTTGTAGATGTTTTGATGGCTACATCTGGAATGGCACAGATTGTAATGATATCAACGAGTGTTTAAACAAGTCCCTTCACAATTGTAGTCAGAAATGCGACAATACTGCTGGCGGATTCGATTGCTCGTGTTTCGATGGATATTTTCTAAATGACACGTTCTGTGCAGATATCAACGAATGCTTAGATACTAGAATGCACAACTGTAGTCAGAAATGTGAGAATATTCCGGGAGGTTTTAACTGTAGCTGTTTCTCAGGTTATCTATGGAACGAAACTGTTTGTGTTGACATCAATGAATGTTCCAATTCCTCGATGAACAATTGTTCTCAGAAGTGTGTCAATTCAGATGGAGGTTTTCAGTGTGAATGTTATTGGGGATATATAGGCGACGGGTTTACATGTGAGGATGTAAATGAATGTTTAAATGCCGACGAGAACAATTGTAGTCAGGAATGTTATAACTATCCTGGAGGATTTAACTGTAGTTGTTTCCCGGATTTCAGTGGAATGACAGCGCTTGTATTGACATTAACGAGTGTTTGAATTCGTCAATAAGCGGATGCGATCAGGATTGTTTGAACAGTGTTGGAAGTTACACCTGCATTTGCTTCGACGGATTCCAGTTGAACGACACGATTTGTAGGACATTAATGAATGTGAAAATTTTACATTGAACAATTGTAGTCAAGAATGTTCGAATTTCCCCGGTGGCTACGACTGTTTTTGTTTCAACGGCTACCGACAAAACGGATCAGAATGTGTAGATATCAACGAATGCACAGAAGGTTCACACAACTGTTCCCAGGATTGTGTGAACAATGAAGGAGGGGTTCGAATGCGAATGCTTCAGTGGGTATGTTATGAATGGAACATTTTGTGAAGATATCAATGAATGTGAGAACACTATTTAAACAACTGCAGCCAGGATTGTTATAATTTACCGGGGAGTTTTGACTGTAATTGTCAAATGGGTTACAGATGGAACGGAACGACGTGCAACGACGTTGACGAATGTTCCAATACAACGCACATCCCTTGTCCTCAAGACTGTATCAACTCGATCGGCAGCTACGAGTGTGTATGTTTTTCAAGGATTTATACAAATGGGACAAATTGTGACGACATTAATGAGTGTCTTAATACTACATTACACAAATTGTAGCCAACAGTGTAACAACCACCCGGGAAGTTGTTACACTGTTGGCTACAATTGTGTAATGTCGTATTAAGACACTCATTAATGTCGTCACAATTTGTCCCATTTTGTATAAATCCTTGAAAACATACACACTCGTAGCTGCCGATCGAGTTGATACAGTCTTGAGGACAAGGGATGTGCGTTGTATTGGAACATTCGTCAACGTCGTTGCACGTCGTTCCGTTCCATCTGTAACCCATTTGACAATTACAGTCAAAACTCCCCGGTAAATTATAACAATCCTGGCTGCAGTTGTTTAAAGTAGTGTTCTCACATTCATTGATATCTTCACAAAATGTTCCATTCATAACATACCCACTGAAGCATTCGCATTCGAACCCTCCTTCATTGTTCACACAATCCTGGGAACAGTTGTGTGAACCTTCTGTGCATTCGTTGATATCTACACATTCTGATCCGTTTTGTCGGTAGCCGTTGAAACAAAAACAGTCGTAGCCACCGGGGAAATTCGAACATTCTTGACTACAATTGTTCAATGTAAAATTTTCACATTCATTAATGTCCTGACAAATCGTGTCGTTCAACTGGAATCCGTCGAAGCAAATGCAGCTGTAACTTCCAACACTGTTCAAACAATCCTGATCGCATCCGCTTATTGACGAATTCAAACACTCGTTAATGTCAATACAAGCGCTGTCATTCCACTGAAATCCGGGGAAACAACTACAGTTAAATCCTCCAGGATAGTTATAACATTCCTGACTACAATTGTTCTCATCGGCATTTAAACATTCATTTACATCCTCACATGTAAACCCGTCGCCGACATATCCCGAATAACATTCACACTGAAAACCTCCATCTGAATTGACACACTTCTGAGAACAATTGTTCATCGAGGAATTGGAACATTCATTGATGTCAACACAAACAGTTTCGTTCCATAGATAACCTGAGAAACAGCTACAGTTAAAACCTCCCGGAATATTCTCACATTTCTGACTACAGTTGTGCATTCTAGTATCTAAGCATTCGTTGATATCTGCACAGAACGTGTCATTTAGAAAATATCCATCGAAACACGAGCAATCGAATCCGCCAGCAGTATTGTCGCATTTCTGACTACAATTGTGAAGGGACTTGTTTAAACACTCGTTGATATCATTACAATCTGTGCCATTCCAGATGTAGCCATCAAAACATCTACAACTGAATCCTCCCGGTACATTTTCACATTCTTGGCTACAATTATGCAGTGTGTCATTCAAACACTCGTTGACATCTAGACAATCTGTTCCGTTCCAAACATATCCATCGAAACAAGAACAGTTAAAACCACCCGGGAAGTTGTTACACTGTTGGCTACAATTGTGTAATGTCGTATTAAGACACTCATTAATGTCGTCACAATTTGTCCCATTTTGTATAAATCCTTGAAAACATACACACTCGTAGCTGCCGATCGAGTTGATACAGTCTTGAGGACAAGGGATGTGCGTTGTATTGGAACATTCGTCAACGTCGTTGCACGTCGTTCCGTTCCATCTGTAACCCATTTGACAATTACAGTCAAAACTCCCCGGTAAATTATAACAATCCTGGCTGCAGTTGTTTAAAATAGTGTTCTCACATTCATTGATATCTTCACAAAATGTTCCATTCATAACATACCCACTGAAGCATTCGCATTCGAACCCTCCTTCATTGTTCACACAATCCTGGGAACAGTTGTGTGAACCTTCTGTGCATTCGTTGATATCTACACATTCTGATCCGTTTTGTCGGTAGCCGTTGAAACAAAAACAGTCGTAGCCACCGGGGAAATTCGAACATTCTTGACTACAATTGTTCAATGTAAAATTTTCACATTCATTAATGTCCTGACAAATCGTGTCGTTCAACTGGAATCCGTCGAAGCAAATGCAGCTGTAACTTCCAACACTGTTCAAACAATCCTGATCGCATCCGCTTATTGACGAATTCAAACACTCGTTAATGTCAATACAAGCGCTGTCATTCCACTGAAATCCGGGGAAACAACTACAGTTAAATCCTCCAGGATAGTTATAACATTCCTGACTACAATTGTTCTCATCGGCATTTAAACATTCATTTACATCCTCACATGTAAACCCGTCGCCGACATATCCCGAATAACATTCACACTGAAAACCTCCATCTGAATTGACACACTTCTGAGAACAATTGTTCATCGAGGAATTGGAACATTCATTGATGTCAACACAAACAGTTTCGTTCCATAGATAACCTGAGAAACAGCTACAGTTAAAACCTCCCGGAATATTCTCACATTTCTGACTACAGTTGTGCATTCTAGTATCTAAGCATTCGTTGATATCTGCACAGAACGTGTCATTTAGAAAATATCCATCGAAACACGAGCAATCGAATCCGCCAGCAGTATTGTCGCATTTCTGACTACAATTGTGAAGGGACTTGTTTAAACACTCGTTGATATCATTACAATCTGTGCCATTCCAGATGTAGCCATCAAAACATCTACAACTGAATCCTCCCGGTACATTTTCACATTCTTGGCTACAATTATGCAGTGTGTCATTCAAACACTCGTTGACATCTAGACAATCTGTTCCGTTCCAAACATATCCATCGAAACAAGAACAGTTAAAACCACCCGGGAAGTTGTTACACTGTTGGCTACAATTGTGTAATGTCGTATTAAGACACTCATTAATGTCGTCACAATTTGTCCCATTTTGTATAAATCCTTGAAAACATACACACTCGTAGCTGCCGATCGAGTTGATACAGTCTTGAGGACAAGGGATGTGCGTTGTATTGGAACATTCGTCAACGTCGTTGCACGTCGTTCCGTTCCATCTGTAACCCATTTGACAATTACAGTCAAAACTCCCCGGTAAATTATAACAATCCTGGCTGCAGTTGTTTAAAGTAGTGTTCTCACATTCATTGATATCTTCACAAAATGTTCCATTCATAACATACCCACTGAAGCATTCGCATTGGAACCCTCCTTCATTGTTCACACAATCCTGGGAACAGTTGTGTGAACCTTCTGTGCATTCGTTGATATCTACACATTCTGATCCGTTTTGTCGGTAGCCGTTGAAACAAAAACAGTCGTAGCCACCGGGGAAATTCGAACATTCTTGACTACAATTGTTCAATGTAAAATTTTCACATTCATTAATGTCCTGACAAATCGTGTCGTCCAACTGGAATCCGTCGAAGCAAATGCAGCTGTAACTTCCAACACTGTTCAAACAATCCTGATCGCATCCGCTTATTGACGAATTCAAACACTCGTTAATGTCAATACAAGCGCTGTCATTCCACTGAAATCCGGGGAAACAACTACAGTTAAATCCTCCAGGATAGTTATAACATTCCTGACTACAATTGTTCTCATCGGCATTTAAACATTCATTTACATCCTCACATGTAAACCCGTCGCCGACATATCCCGAATAACATTCACACTGAAAACCTCCATCTGAATTGACACACTTCTGAGAACAATTGTTCATCGAGGAATTGGAACATTCATTGATGTCAACACAAACAGTTTCGTTCCATAGATAACCTGAGAAACAGCTACAGTTAAAACCTCCCGGAATATTCTCACATTTCTGACTACAGTTGTGCATTCTAGTATCTAAGCATTCGTTGATATCTGCACAGAACGTGTCATTTAGAAAATATCCATCGAAACACGAGCAATCGAATCCGCCAGCAGTATTGTCGCATTTCTGACTACAATTGTGAAGGGACTTGTTTAAACACTCGTTGATATCATTACAATCTGTGCCATTCCAGATGTAGCCATCAAAACATCTACAACTGAATCCTCCCGGTACATTTTCACATTCTTGGCTACAATTATGCAGAGTGTCATTCAAACACTCGTTGACATCTAGACAATCTGTTCCGTTCCAAACATATCCATCGAAACAAGAACAGTTAAAACCACCCGGGAAGTTGTTACACTGTTGGCTACAATTGTGTAATGTAGTATTAAGACACTCATTAATGTCGTCACAATTTGTCCCATTTTGTATAAATCCTTGAAAACATACACACTCGTAGCTGCCGATCGAGTTGATACAGTCTTGAGGACAAGGGATGTGCGTTGTATTGGAACATTCGTCAACGTCGTTGCACGTCGTTCCGTTCCATCTGTAACCCATTTGACAATTACAGTCAAAACTCCCCGGTAAATTATAACAATCCTGGCTGCAGTTGTTTAAAATAGTGTTCTCACATTCATTGATATCTTCACAAAATGTTCCATTCATAACATACCCACTGAAGCATTCGCATTCGAACCCTCCTTCATTGTTCACACAATCCTGGGAACAGTTGTGTGAACCTTCTGTGCATTCGTTGATATCTACACATTCTGATCCGTTTTGTCGGTAGCCGTTGAAACAAAAACAGTCGTAGCCACCGGGGAAATTCGAACATTCTTGACTACAATTGTTCAATGTAAAATTTTCACATTCATTAATGTCCTGACAAATCGTGTCGTTCAACTGGAATCCGTCGAAGCAAATGCAGCTGTAACTTCCAACACTGTTCAAACAATCCTGATCGCATCCGCTTATTGACGAATTCAAACACTCGTTAATGTCAATACAAGCGCTGTCATTCCACTGAAATCCGGGGAAACAACTACAGTTAAATCCTCCAGGATAGTTATAACATTCCTGACTACAATTGTTCTCGTCGGCATTTAAACATTCATTTACATCCTCACATGTAAACCCGTCGCCGACATATCCCGAATAACATTCACACTGAAAACCTCCATCTGAATTGACACACTTCTGAGAACAATTGTTCATCG